GTAATATATCTCTTTCGATAAACGTTTTGTACACTTGATTGACTTGTGACATTTGACCTTATTTGCGGTGTTTTGTTTTGGCGTTTGTCCGAAAACTAATTCACTGCTTTTTGCCCTGACCTGTTCGGAGGGACCCGATTTTTCTGATTGCGTTTTTAAAGTTGAATTAACTGTTTTCGCTGGCATGGGATGGGACAATTCTTCGTTCGATTGGTATGTTTCGGGAGCAAGAGATTCGCCATTCGCCAGATTAGTAATAATCTAAGGCTGGTATACTTTAATTTAGGATATTATAATTGGTTGCCGTAGTAATCATGTGTATCTAAAATGCTCCGCCGTCCGTCGTCCGCCGTCCGCGGACCGCCGTCCGCGGTCCGCCGTCCGAGGTCCGCCGTCCGAGGTCCGCCGTCCGCGGTCCGCCGTCCGCTTTTTATCCGTCCTCCTTTTATCTATAAGCCATATAACAAGACACATAACAAAACATAAAAGACAAACAAAACATAACATACAACTAGCAACATATCTTAAAACACCGTCCAGGTACCTCGCTCTTCTACATTTAACGCATATACGGACTTCCATGTGCGTGCAGGATCGTCACAATTGTATATCTGTGGTACCTATGGTAGTCGACCGATGGTATGTATACCGATGGTATGAATACCTATGGTAGTCGACCGAGATCACTAATACACTTCATGGTTTGATTGTCGCACTTATATTATATATTAGGTATATTTATATTATAGGTATATATTTGACAATGGTAAAATGTATAATAATCGACAAACGAGATCCGCATGCAAGGGTGATGTTCACATGTGTTTACATACGTTGATTCCCAGTTTAAAGACAAAATACAGCATGTCCATTTTCTATTCATCTTCAAAACGTCCCGGATGATAACTTTCAGTTGCTAAATTCGAGCTCACTGAAAATTGTGCTCCACTGAATGCTCCTTGTCAAACAACATTATTATCGTTTTAACCTTGCACTCTCTACCGTAAACCACGCTCAAACCCCCGCCAAGATCACGCGCCATTTTGTCGGAAAATTCAAAGCACTGGCCAAAGCATAGTATAGTCCTCGAGCCACGCGCGGAGCGCGTAGGGCGAAGCCCGTGGCGAGGGTACTAACTCTGCTCGGCTATTTACACCCGGAGAAAGGAAATAAAGCATTAGCGAAGTATAAAAGTTCATCAACGATCGCGGGCGCATGGCTATGCATGGCTAGTTGATAAAACATAATTTATTACGTGAATATATACTTTTCAATTCCTTTTCAGTGAAACTTGTATATACTTACAACAGCATGCAGAAATTAAATGCTCTATGCTCCTTTACCCAGTCTAGTTAACTTGACGTCCGACAAAAAGGTCGAACGAAGCCGTCGAGAAAAACGGTCTGTGGACAGGCTACCAGAAGCCTCGAAACCAACCTTTTGTAACCTTCTGTTAATCTGCTTGACAATTTATACTGTTCAACCTTATAACATAATTGGTAGCAATACGTCAATACAAACACGCTTTCTGATTGGACATTGCTGGTATCCAAAAATATAGCTGTTTGCCTGCAGGAGTGAAGGAAACCGAAAGAGTAAAAAACATGCATGACAGAAAACTTGGACACTCTTTTTACACAATAAGTTGTAAATCACCTTTTTCAAATTTTACTAAAGAAAGTGTGAGAAATGTGATGTACAGGGTAACTTTGTTTTCACTGTTTATGTATGACTTTGCTGTCCAGTTTTCGGACTTTTCGCCTGAAGGCCTTGCCGAACATTAGAACATGTACAGCTTTCCTTTTGAATTCATTCTATGTGAAAGTTAACTTGTTTTACTTTTTTATAAAAGAAAGAAGAAAATTATTTTCATTACAATTATTAAAAATGTTTTACGAAGCGCTTCGTGTTGAATTTTGCATTATAATAAAACCCATACAAAGCAAAATAACATAGCTACTTTATATATGTTAGAAATCGATTTTTCTGTGGATTGTGGTTATAAGTGTAAAATATTCATTTCACATTTATTTTTACCGTTTTGAACAAAAACAATAGACCATTCCCATTATAGACTAATTTTAAAACTAGGCAAAGAGATGCATATAAATCACCAAAGAGGGTCTTAATGGGGGTGTTTGGGTCAGCTAAAATGTATGCCAGTTGTCAGTACGATATATTGCAAGCTGTCAATAGTCGGTTACTGCAAAATACTGACTCATTTTTTCATCATTTCTCAGTTGTGAGTTGTTTGTCAGTTTCAGTCAAAAATTCAGGCAAATCACCAAAGCTAGAAAGAGCATACTAAAATGAGTAAAATTGCAAAGTTTGGTTACGAAATGTTGTAAAATGCGGAAAGTATAGCCTTGCAAAATTTGCAAATTTTGAATACTTTTGAATTGCGTCCGGAACACATTTGGGCCGAAAATGGTAGCAATTTCCGCTCGCAATACAAAAGTATACAAAATTTCCAAACTTTGCAAGGCTATATTTTCCGCATTTTACAACATTTCGCAACCAAACTTTGCAATTTTACTCATTTTAGTATGCTCTTTCTAGCTGTGGTGATTTATTTGCATTTCTTTGCCAAAAGTTTTAAAGACTTCTGCTCAACCACAATGCAATGCGAGCTTTTGTTTACGTTTTTCCGTTACTTTTCTCAATTGTTGCCGCAATTTTCGAAGCCACACAAATGGCTGTCTCTGACCTACAACGTAACAGAAACGTAAACAACGCACGCATTGCATTGTGGTTGACCAGGACTCTTTAAAATTAGTCTATAATGGGAATTCTCTATTATCGTGTTGCCATGGCTAACATGACGCGAGCAACGTGAGCCTGCGTTCCGTGTTGGCGTTACTGAAGTGCTTCATGTTGAAACAATTTTGGAAAATGTGAGCGATGGGTTGTTGCATGTATTTCTAGTCTAAAGGAATATTCAGAACTGCCCATTTCAATAAGGAGGACAGACTATGAGACAGTGACGAGGCAAGTGGCTATACCCTATTATAGATATCTCAAGAGCTTGAGGGTCTGGGGGTACATAACACGTTATGGCGTTATTTGGGTGAAATTACCTTATCGAGTCCCTGTATGCACGCTTTATGACTATACAGTCCATATAATGTAGTTCAACTTACGAGTTGTACGCAATATGATATACTGATTGTCTCCTCACTGTGCGGGAAAGTTTGTGGTTTGTCAATTCGATATTTACCCCTAAAATCCCAAACGTAATTCTAAAACTACTTTTCTTACATTTCGAAATGCTCATTTTGGAAAATGTGCGGCCTTAGGATCGATGATTGTTGGCCCTTCCAACTGACGGAATTTTGACTGCACCTTTAATCCAAAAAACATTTCTATGGGCATGGCGCCGCTGAATATTCAAACCCTGTTTGAAACTGAAGCGAAGCTATATAATTTAAATAGGAACATATTGTCAGCCTAGAGTTCAAGTTCTTGTTTCATTAACCCTCAAATAAAATCAGGATCTTAGTGTTGTTGTTGTCGTTGTTGTTATTGTCGTTGTCGTTTTTGCCGTTGTTGTTGTAAATAGCATATAACAACATCATTCTAATCACCGCCTAATATATGTGTCATACAGTGATTATGAAGACTTTCTTGTAAATAAATATAAATATTATCTAGTTTTTCAGTATATATAACTCCTCCTAGTGTAGTATAATACTGTTTTAGGAGTATTTCATTAAAGCATTAAAGCAGGACGTGTCTGTTGGCATTTGTAACGCACCAGGAACTGATTTCCACGTACACAGTATGTTTTGAGGCCTTCTCAGCCAGCAGCGAAGTCAGATGTTAGATGTTCGCAAAAAATACGAACATTTCGTAAAGAAATATAATTGATAGAGACTAGAGAGTTAGCTCCGGAGAATCGCCGGCAACATGTACAGTGTCAACATGATACTCAGTCAGGTTCCCCACCTCCGCTTCTCCCGTAGCGGGTTTCTGGGGTAGCTAGGGGGAGTGGAGGTTGAGATCCTGAGAGGTCCTGTGTCGGATCGAAACGTCCCCGCTAATGTTGGGACCTAAGTACCACCATTTTTAGTCCGTACGCAATTTAGGGCAGCGAGGAGGAGGGGGGAGTTGCTGCTTTTTCTATCTCCTAGGCTCTAGCAAGCTTGTCTCCAAGACTTTTTAGTGGACGCACAGAAACTTATAAAAAGCATAGAAGATACAGAGTCAGGACTGATGATGCATGGTTTTTTTTTGGGTTTTTTTTTGTTTTGTTTTTTTCTGTGTTGGTGTAGTGTACTCAGGTGAATATGATATTTGTGGTGTTACTCTGAGTGTATATCCACACCGGGCGAGCTTGAAAAATATGCCCGGCCACGGTGGGATTCGAACCTACGATTCGAACTATGCCCGGCCACGGTTGGGATTCGAACCTAACTTTTCGGTGGGATTCACGGTGGGATTCGAACCTACGATTCGAAATATGCCCGGCCACGGTTGGGATTCGAACCTAACTTTTGAAGTGTTTGGCAAATGAGCCTGCGCGAGACGTCTCGCATGTCTATGATCTCGTAATACTCGTATCCTAGTTCAAGGAAAAATGACCGCGTTCATATGAGAAGAAGGGTAAAGCTACTATAAAAGCCCACTTGGCAAGATCCCGCCTGTATTGTATAAAGGCAGGACGATTCGACAACGCGCGCGATTTTTCAGTTTTTGAAAGTTAATAAAACTGCCAATGAAAGGAAATTTTAAACGATATGTAGACCAAATAACTCAAAATGTTATAGCGCTTCTAAAAAAAATATTTGAGGATCAAAGAACAGTGAAAATCGAAAACTATCGCGCCGCAACCTCGCAAGCCAGGGTCTTTTACGCCGTGCGGAAGTAAAAGACCCTGGCTTGCGAGGTTGCGCGTTGATTATTTGAAGACCTGTCGCGTTGTCGAACGCGAACACGAATAATTTTCCGAAAAATAAATTTCATAAACAAATTGTGGAAACTCTGGCCGAATAAATTTCAAGATGGCGTTCTGCAGCATGTGTGTAGGTTGGAGACTTGCTAGCAGAACTATTTCTTCAACTACATTCAATCTAAACAAAAGATTTTTATCAACAACCTTCCGTCTTCTGAATGATGATAATCCTAAGTCAAGTAAACAGTTTAGTCTAAGTTTTGAAGAATATCAAAAATTACGAAGAAAAGTGCGAACTCAGAAAAGAATATCAGGCATTCCATTTGCTGCAGTGGGTATGACTGCTTCCTCTATGGTCTCTGTCATGTTAAATCCCCATTTATTTGATGCTACAGACCCTGAACAGATACAGCCAATTCTGTGAGTTTACTTTTTATCTTTCTCTTAATGCATGAGTCAATTCCAGGGGTAACCATCCCCCCCCGGGAACACACCCGGGCATTTGATTTGATTGGTTATGATAGTGTAAATGCCCGGGTGCCGGGACACAACTTGAAGACTAATGCACAGCCCCTGGGCAAGCTGAGAGTGGAAAATGGCCCACCCCGGGGACGATTTTACAGTAGATTTCACGAAACTTTGACCACAAATGTTCCGAACTTCGTTGCGAAGTTCGCAAATTCGTTGCGAAGTTCGGAAGCTCATATTGGAATACACAAGCCAATTTGTAAACAAAGTCCCTGATTGGTCCGTGAAGTAAAAGAAGCCAATCAAATGCGTAGTTTACAAACTGGTTTGTGAATCTCATTATGAACTTTTGAACTTCGCAACAATGGTCAAAGTTTTGTGAAATCGACTGTAAACGTTAATTAAACTTTTAATGGCATATAATCATAGTCATTTAATAACATTATAGTATTAAACTGCTATGGAATATTATAAAACATAAACCTTTAATAGTTGTATTTAAATTTGCATGGCACAGGGTATAATTTTCGCTTATTCTTACAATAAATTTCACGCCACCTTGACCACGAGGGCGCAAAATACGATCAGCGCGCCCACATGCGTGCCTGAAACTAGGTTTTGCTGCCTTAAAATTTGTGGGTGGGATTTTGGTCAACCATTTGTCAAATCCCCGGGGTCCTCCAATACCCGGCCCCCGTGCACATATATGAAAGGCAAATTCCCGACCCGTGTGAACTGTCTATCGGGCAAATTCCCGGGGATGTCCCGGGGGGGGGGGATGGTTACTCCAGGAATTGACTCATGCATAATTTTCAAACGAAATATGTAAGGGCCTTTGCTCGAAATGCCAAAGTTATCTTTTAATTGGATTTTTATATATTAAAATACTGTTAACAATAAATAAGATTTGTATAGCCCCTATTATATGTATGTAGACAGGTATATGATTATTGGATGTATAATGATTGGCGCTGACGTCAAACTCAAACCCTACCTAAATTTGAAGTAGTTACAACTTCGACACGACTTGAAGATGCGGAATTTAACTATTCTGCCGGTTGCGGGCCGAAAAATGCGGGCTGCAGGCAGAAAATGCGGGCTACGGGTAGAAAAATGCTAACACGATTGCGAGCCGCGGGGCTAGTTGCGGGCCTGACAAATTTTTTAAAAAAATATTGTCAAAATGTAAAGAAAATAACAATATTATTCAAAATTTTCCGTCTTTGAAGTATATTCTATGTCTAATGCTATTCGTAATCATATGCATATGAATTTTTCCTTAAATTCATTCTTTTTGGAATATCATGGAATCTCAGTTTATAAGTCGTACCAGAGATTAAAACTTGTTTCTACCGGGATAACTGTACACCAATCCTAATAGTAGCACTATTTTCCAGCAAACTGACCTAGAAGAGATGTTAAATGGCTATGTATTAACTAACACAAATCCTACCTCTACTCTAACCCCTAACCACAACCCTAACTCTAACCCTAATCGAATTAATAAAAAAAATTTAAAAAACCGACTTTAGGAAATCGACAGGGCGGTTTGCTGGATAGAAAAAAGTGCTAACTACTAGGCCATGTTTTTATGAGCGACTGTAACACGAAAGAAAGGCCGAGTGCGACACAACGTAAAATCCATAGGAAACCGGCACAATTCTTTGAAAATTTAACGAAACTGTGTGAAATATATATTAGATCGCTAGCAGTGAAAAGCCACCATTTTGAAACTGAACTGAATATGTCACTGGAGCACGTTGCACCCTGAGCCTACGATGACCTAACGCAAATTCCATTTCTCATCTTAAAAAAAAAACAGAAAAAGAGGGATTTAAGACACTTGGACTACAGGCCAGTGTAATTAGTGTGAGAACAAACGCCATTTTAACAGCAGCCCGCAAACGCCCGGAGAAAATAGTTCGCACGGTCAGTCGCGTTGAAAAAATAATAGGGTCGGCAGAAAAAAATAGGGTCGGTCGGAAACCGGAACCGCAGGTATTTTTTTTTACGCCCAAGGTCAAGGTTTTATCGAAACCGATTGACTGTTATATTTACTTTTATACTATTTTATAACTAAATAATGTTATTTCTTACAAATTTAGCTTTATTGTAGCTTTATTGAAAGTATAAAAAACATGGAAACGGCGAATTTTTATAGATTGAAAATAATTATTAAAGTATGATTGAAATTATCGACGTAGAATGCTATTTCCTTGTATTAAATTTCAATAGTATTAATGAGAATTCTGTTTTATATTTTAATATATTTCATGTTATTTACAAAATGTACTGTAGTTTTGAAGTTTTGCACACAATATAGTAAGTGTTAGCATGCACAATGACTCCGTTTCAATTTGAGCATATATAAAAAATTAATTGAGTATTTTGATAGCATAGCCAGGCTTCACGATATAAATATTAAAATGATAAATAATCATTCATTGCGAGCACAACTGCTCCAGAATCACAACAAATAACAAAATATAAGGTAAATTAAAACCAGCAAAGCTTTAATTATGTAAATTTTCCGCAAACAATCAAACATTTTTCTTTGCCTTTCCTCGAGCATGAGTGATGAAATGCTCGTCGGAAAAACTCGGTATTTGTCGTATTTTACGAATTTGAGACATCACCGCGACATGAAATTTAAAGCTATATGAAAGTTGCATGCCATATATGGCATGCAACAAAAAAATAGTTGGGCCAGCAATTTGGCCCGCGGCCCGCAATTGTTTTAACCCGCAGCCCGCAAAATAGCTAGACCCGAAGATGCGATCATATATGCGACACAAGTTCGACATTGATTTAGATGCCGTGTTTTTCATGTGCCGAACCTAAGGGACTCATTATTTATGAGCGGGGGTGGGCTGGCAAAAAGGGGGATGGGTCATGAGGTATATTTGACCAAAAAAGGGGGGCACTTATTCAGAATGGGGGGGGGTCCAGTTATTTAATATATCGCGGTATTATAGTGGAGAAAAAATTGACATGTAACGATTATTGCTACCACAGGGAGAGAGCAAGGCAACAAATTTAATTCATGTATGGCTAGCAAAATTCTCAATTTTAATAAACAGATAGATCCAAAAGGGAATGCAATGCACAAATACCTAAAATGCAATATGCACAGCCAATATGAAAAATAATCGAACATCTACCGTTATAACTACCAATTCTTCCCCAAAGTCATGAAATGGCATTTCAGAGACTAAATTTGAGCCTCTTAAGTGCTGCTATTAATTATAGTTTTATTTAGATAGTTTTTTTATGTTTGTATGTCCTAATCGGGCCCGCAGTAATTGGCTCACGCTGTTGCGGTCACCCTGCCTATAGTCATGTCTATTATTCTTGTTCTTGTTATAGTTTTGTGTATTGTAATATGGCGAAACTAATAAATAAATAAATAAGTGGAGGGGCGGGCTGAGCCCCCCTTGTTAAAATTTCATGTTGACTTGGGGGGCTGAGCCCCCCTATAATTTTTGCCTAATCTTAAAGAGAATGTTCTTTAGAACTGCATCTACAAAAAGTGGTACAAAAACCTTGAATTACATACCATTTTGAGACGCTCAGAATATGTTTTAATACTAACGGCAATTGTTTTTAATAAGCATAATTTTGACTGTTTGTCCAACAAAATTTAGAATTTCCAAATTATCATATTGTAAACACCGCCAGTTCAGGATACGTTTGGAGAACAGAGACAAAACTACCCGTGTGTGTGTGTGTGTGTGTGTGGGGTACCACCCCCTGTCTCTATCTCATTGGGTATACCCATACAATTTAGTCACAGAATAGATACCAGACCAGAAGGGGCACTCCTATGTGTTTTGGCTGAAGGAAAACGTCCGAAATTTTTTACGTGCTATGACGCCATCCTGGAGTGCACATGGCACTTTGTACCTATGTTTTCCTATGAAAAAATTCCGTGTGCACTCCAGGATGGTGTCATATGATGGCGCATTTTCACGACAGCACTCGTAAAATTTCGGACAAAATAATTCGTCTGAGTTACACTTCTGGTTCTGTATTTATTCTGTTATTTAGTCGGACAAATTTTGAAGCTATTTGCGTGTCTCACATTGAAAAGTAATAGTGGTACGAAGAGGTGGTAGTGAAAAATGCCCCGCTCACCAACAATTTTGGGGGAAAAAAATTAATTGGCGACTGATCAAATGTTCGTCCCTCAGGAACGACTTCGGATTTCCAGTTCCCGCACGAAGCTCCTCGCAACTCGCTGCAAGTGCTCTCATCCAATTAAAATTAGCTGTTTAGCATTGTGGTTGGATGAAAGTGGTGCACAAAATTTCAGAAAATTTGCTTCTTAAGCCTTTAACTTTTCATGCAGACTTACATTTTTTCTCCAAAATTAATGGTTCCCAGAGTATGCCTGTTCGCGGGATTGCTACTACATAACCCGCGAACAGGCATACTTTGGCGAGATTGATTTTTTCCTAAAAAATCAGCCTTTTGCATGCTTAATTAATTCATGCGTTTGCCTAATTTGCTTATGTCAGCAATATGCAAGTTAGGTAAAGGCATTAATAAGCATGCGAATGGCTGACTTTTTAGGAAAGAATGAATAGTTAAAGGCTTATTAAAGCTAAAGCAAATTATCTGACATTTTTGTAGAGTAATTAAAAACCCAACAAGTTTTTCATCCATGAACTCAAAATAAGATTTTAAACTTTAAAAAGCTCTTAAAGTTTGTGCGCAAACACACCTCCCTGGTTTATAAAATTTGAGAAATTTTTTCATTATTCTACATTGTAAGTACCGAAGAAACTGTATATGTAAAAAACTGGACACTAATAGTTGTTTTGCGAAATTGAGAGCAATTTCAAATCTGTGCAGTTTTTTTTTATACACCCTGTAGAAAGTTGTTTCTCTATCCACCAACTTATTTAAAACCAGTCATAAATTAGAACAATTGAATTCAATTGTACTGAAAAACAAAAAGCAGGTTAGGATGTATACTGTGTATATAGGATATGAGGTATCCAGTTAACTTTGCAGTACACACATGATCACTCATATATTATTTAATCAAAGAAATATATCACTTGCTTGTAGATGGGTCTTCGTCACCTTGCATGTGACAACATCGATTTATCTCACAAGTGTGATGAAGAAAACCTTGAAAGAAGCAACAGAGAAATTTGAGGCAAATTTATGTTGTGACGAGCATATTACAGCTCAACAAACGCCTAACCCGGTCACTGTTACAAACCATGGACATTTTATTAATGACAGAAACACGGTGGTAAGATGGGAAATGTACATAACGTATCCTTTCATGCTTTGGGACCCAATGAGTCAATACAAAACTCTTTTCATCAACAAATTGATATGCCCCTTGTGCTCTGATGACAAAGATTTGTCCAATGCTTTGTTTCGTTATGGTGAATGGTACAATGGTCGTTTAGCCAGGTTAAATCCAAGGGTGATATTTGACATGCACACATGCATACTTTTGGTCAGTGCAGTATACAAATGTTCTAAGGGTCATGAAATTACAGCATGCCATCCGGATGTTTTACATGTCTTAAAGGGCAGGACAGAAGTTCCATTTTTTCTGACGCATAGACATGGATTTACTTTAGAGTTAGCTAATCTCGTTGAAGAACTAATTGACAATGGACTAAGTTTCGAGCAGGTCGAAGATACGATCATAAAACAGTACATGAGTATTCATAATCGTTTTGAAGCATCCTTCTGGAGAGATTTGGCATTGTCAAAGACATTTGGTGTCTTTTATGAGGAGTCGGATATGTTTTTCCCGCGTTCTCATCACAATGTTTTCCACACCCAAGCGCCACAATTTTGATTGATGTTTTTTTTAAACGTTTTCTCCAAAATGAATACGTCTACAGAGATTCTATGAATTCGCTTAAAGCTAAATGGATTACATGTGATCATACTTTTAAAAGCGTTTGTAATATTGGATACACGAGATCAGAGGATGGAAAATGGATTAATCAATACACTTCCGTATTTTGTGTTTTGAATGAAAATGGCGAGGTGATACACTGGCAGTTCACATCATCTGAAGGATTTGAAGAATTAAGAGGCTTGTTTACGGACATAAAACATAAAAGTGAAAACGATCCATTGAGTATCATTTGCATAGATAATTGTTGTAAATGGGATAATCTATTAAAAGAAATATTCCCACAAACTCTTATAAAACAAGATTTATTCCATGCAGTCCAGCAATTTTGCAAGACCCTCAGAAAAAAGAATCCATTTTATCGCGAACTTTCCCAGGACTATGGAAAAATCTTTCGGCATTTGAAGGACACAGGGGACGAAAGAAAAATGGAAACACCTAATATAAAAACATTGCTTGAAAATCTTGGTAAATTTCTTAAGAAATGGGAAGACCGCGAGCACGGTGGTATTAAAATATTGAGTAAAGATCAAATGGATGCAATAGCTAAGATTCGCAATCACATCGTCAAAGGCTGTTTGAGTGGTATACCAGCTCATTTTTCTACTTCATTAAATGAGCGCCTACACAAAGACATGAAGAAATTGCTCTCCAAAAATAGAATTGGTGGCCCTCAGTTTTATGGGGGGGGGCTGATTTGCAACAGGCAGAACTTCCCCGTGCCCACCAAAATCCTACCTGTTGCATACAAATCAGTCGCAGGGCCACGCAGGCTAGTCAATCGTGAGTGTTTTTAGAATTTATGTGAAGGGGGTAATTGAATTTTTTTGTGATGCAGGGGGTGGGTCAGGACATTTTGTTTAGTTATTAATTGAATTTTGCCAGCCCACCCCCAGTAATAAATAATGAATGGTCCCTAAAAACACAACGAAAAAACTCCCACAAATTGTTTACAGATTAGCAAATGAATTTTAATGGTTAAAAATATATATTTTTGAAAAAATAATCGCTACTGTAGCGAACTACAATTTTCAAGTAGCCAGTAGTTTTTGATTACTTTATTAAAACAGTAGCTGTATTTATAGCGAACTACATTTTGCCTAAAAGTAGCCAAGCAGTTGATTGGTTTTCAAACAGCAAATCGCTATTCGCTAGTTTTTTAAAATTGTTAGCAACTTGAATGATAGAATAGCATGATATTGAGACACGGTTTGCCTAAAATCAATACTCAATTTGTATTCTTGTACACTGTAGTGCTTACAAAAATGTTGCTTTGACTTTGTGTTTACTGTTGCTACTTGTAAGTCGATTTGGTATAGGTTACATTTCAGCCTGAGTTAGTAGATGCTCCAAATACAGTAAAACTAAAAAATATAGCGTAGCGAAATAGCTCGCTACATTTTTTAAGACTCAGTAACGAACTATACTTTTGTTCAAAAGTAGCAGTAGTTGTCGCTGACTACATATTTCTGGAGTAGCTGTAGTTATAGGAAACTACAAAAATTTTGTAGTCAACCCACCCTTGCAAATAAGTCAGATAAAATCAGAAAAAGACTATAAAAAGATCTGTTGAAACTTTTTACGGCTTTGCCCTTTGCCCCCCCCAGTTCATACGCCCCTGCCGGTACTCAGGTCGGTTCAAGTATGTGATCCGGCTCGGTTGGCAAAGCATTGGGCTAGTATTCCAGGGATCGTAGGTTCAAATCCCTCCGTGGCCAGGCATATTTTTCAAGGCTGCCCGTTGTGGATTTACACTCAGAGTAACATCACAGAGCAAATTAAAATTCAAACGTTTTCCGATAAAGACAACGTTACTATATTATATAGCCTATCATACATGCATTCGCATTGAATGCGGATTAAAAAGTTTCATAGCTAAAAATATTCGAACGGGTGAAAACATATGCGCTTATGAGCGCGTGTTTATAAAATGCTCCGCCGTCCGTGGTCAATCGTCCGCCGTCAGTCTGCCTACACAAGGCACACCCATCCACACCCATCATTCCAAATTTAGAAATGTGTCACAGACATAGTTTCAGTGTCACATTCTCTTTTTCTGTGACCGTCATTGGTATTATCATATTTAATTAAATAAGTAACAAACAACAGAGTTGTCAATCACTCAATCACACACTAATTTTGGAACCAAACGACCAAACCTGGAACCTGTCTGTATTCACACGCAGTGCACTGAATAGTTAGTACAGTAACACTGTAATAGGAGAGAAATTGTTTTTTTATGTAAAACCGTAGTTCTAAAAAGCCATGAGTGATTCTCACGAAGTAAAAGAAAAGAAGCGCAGTAGCGAGAAGGAGCAAGTAATTGAAAATGAAGGGGAGTACGGGTATTATAAGAATGATTTGTTTCATTCATTAAGCAATTTTGTCTTAAAATGCGAAGGCGTGGTTGAAGAAGACAAGAAAATTGTTGGTTACATGCTCCGTGCCAAGCCGAAAGATAATAGGGAAGAAAACGTCGAAAAATGGTACTGTTTCAGACATATTGTTTAATAATTGTATACACAATGGAATAATTTATTACAGTAAAAGGTGGTCTTCACATTTAAACTTTGGAAAATCAATCCAGCAGATCTAAAATTTGTGACTTTTGTCTCTTTATTTTATGCTTGTTCACGCTAGCATAATATTTTAGTCATAGCTGTGCTCATATAGTTCTAAGCGGTATTGCATGTGCACAAACTAACTGCAAAAACATTGTGAGTATATGCATGAGCTTTAGTATTTAACAAATTCGAACGTGCCGAAAAAAACTTAGATAAGTATTAAATAAATGGCGAGATAAATTAGTGTCCATACGCCTATACTACACAGTTTTTATAATTTAATAGCTCTTTACCCTTTCATAGGTTGGACAGTGTATTTGTTACTCGTCGCGATATGATTGAGCAATACACGATCACAAATAAGCTGGTCTCGAGTCGCTTGTGGGTATCGTCCACCAAAGAGTTCCTCCCAGGGCTACTCAAAAAAATGTGTGATAATTATGAAAAAGCCGAGTGCAGAAAAACCTTAATTCCAGTGAAGGTACAAAATTCAATAATTTATAAGGGCATGTTCATAAGATCCAGCGCAGGGTGGGATGCTTAATACCGAGATCTCGCTTGTAATACAAATTCTAAAGGCCGATGATATGGAGAGGTTCCCGAGAGGTTTCAGCTCAGACTGAATTTCATTCCGGTTGTCACAGCGGATGTGTGCCCCCGCGGATAGTAGACACATTTAGATCGAGGACGCGGACGTCAAAGACGACGTAAAAATGGCGTGTTGTGCCCATGTATGGATGTGCCACGCCATTTTCACGTTGTCTTTGACGTCCGCGTCCTAGATATAAATCCGTCTAATGCCACCCCCCCCCCCCGGACATGGTATGGTATATAATAACTTTATTAGCATGACCAACAGTTACAGGTATTGCTAAAGTTTTAACTACAATAACTAAACATACAAACTAAAGGTAACTACTATAGGTTAAATACGACCCATTACAAGATTACAATAAGGTAAAGAAGCTATTTACAAGATAGAGGTCAAATACGATAGTATTGAACTTTAGTGTTCAGCATCCCTGGATTCAAGGCGTTTATCTCTTAGCTCGAAACAGGAAAAAGCAAACTTGGATAGTTTTAGAATCGTTTCATTTTCAGTTGACTTTAATATGTCAACTGATAGATTTTCTCTTTGGTATGTATTGTTGGTGAGAACAGTAAAGAAGTCTTGTCTAATATTGTCGTAGATGAAATAAGAAAGTGTTCCTCATTTTCTATTTCGTTGATTTACAAAGCTTACATATTCGTTCTTCTCGGGGAATGTTGTGGTATCTACCACATTCAATCATTAATTTGTGATTGCTTATTCGGAATCGAGTCAGTGATCTCCTCTGGTTTGTGTTTCTTATTACGGTAAGATACTTTTCTATAATTGGCATTCTTTTTTAAAAGTTGAGTAGAAATATAATTTGGACGAATGTTCATTTTTGTGTTTTCAGACAACCTCGTCCCCAGGGCCTTTGAGCTGACTTCGTGCTGGAGAAGTAATGGTGTAAGACATTGTGTAGTGTAAATGTTATTTACTTACGCTACACAATGTCTTACACCATTACTTCTCCAATTACCTACCTCAAAGACCAAAAAAATACTGTATTCAATAGATTAATATTTATAACCCATATGTAAATTGGACATAAATGAGAGAACCAGTATCTGATGGACTTTTTTAAAATACAATCGGAGTGGGGGGGAGTGCCTTTGCGTAAATTAATACAAACTACAAGCGAAAAATAACAAATAGATAAACTGAAAAGTAAGTTTTAGGCTTTATCCTTCACCCTTGTTTATTAAACATTACGTATTTCCATCACTAAGTAATGATAAATTGTTAATAATTATTTTATTTTTTGTGCGTTTTTTCCTTCTTTAATAATTAATTTCAAGTATACTTAAAGACGGGTTACAGTCCGTGCTGCGCATGTGCAATTCTTTTTGTTTTGGTAGACTACTTATCTCTCGTTTCCATGGTTTCCAGTCCGATTGCATAATATACGCGCGATTCTATATTTGTTGATACAAGGAGTGGGAATACACAGTTTCGAAGAGATTTTCAACGATTTGTGACTTTTATGAAGTGAAATCCGATTAATAACAAATCATTGAAACAATATGAGAAGAAGGAAAGAATATTACGCCAACAAGGATGCCTTTAAAGTGTGTTTATTTGAAATTCAGTCAAGCGCTTCGCCATGTCGAAGTTATACTGTCATATAAAGGTAAATATTTGTTTTATACATTTGATTATTTCGTTCTCCAGAGTCGAGACTGGATCTCTAATTCGCTGTGAATTTGTGACAATTTTTAAGCTAGGGCAATTTTGTTCATTTACTGTCTGAGAAAAGATGGGATCTCTGAGTTTATAATTCAACTTGTTCGAGACATGTATTGATGTGTATTTGTAGTAGAAGCTAGCTTCACCTCGGCTAAGCACTATAACTTAATTCAGTCAAGGTTAAAACTGATTTCATCTTTATATGGCGAGCTGTTATCAAAATGCTACTGGGATTGAGTTATTGGATGATTATTGTTTTGTAATTCATAAATCAGGCATCTCCAGAAGAACTTTCTGGTAGCAGAATATATTGAATTTTTATACATGACATGATTGAACATATATACTGAATAAAATTTCTATTATGCTGTACTATAGGTTCCCTTGAGCTCATAGAAACATTACAGATTGTACAACACTAACATCGAATAAACATGGTGATGAGTGGAGATGTGGTTATAACAACCATATAGCCTAGTGGTTAACCAATCAGAAACAAATTTAAAGAGAGGAATAAATATAGAAGAAAAAATACAGATTGGATACTGATGAAACAAAGATGGAAGAATGTATTGCCTTATAATAACAATTCACATTACTTAAGAGCACAAGTATTGTTTATGAGTTGGAATAATTTGATTGAGTTGAGAATAGTTTGATTGACTTGGGAATATTATCCAGTGCTGGTTGAGAGTCACCTATAAAATATTTTCTAGTTCTATTTCCTGTAGCTACTTTATATATTTCATTATCTTTTTGTATGGATATATGATAATTGCTTTCAAGCCATGTGAACAAAAATGTAGTATGGCAGTTTTAACATTCTGGCTAAAATAGTTATCTGGCCAACATTGAGATATAAATACTGATAGTTTTGGTGGAGATAACATTACCATCATGTAACATAGTCAGGGGAAAAATTCTCTAATCCTTACATCTGCTCTGTTTTGGGAGTTTCATTAGATGTTTAACAATGAATGATATTACATGTATTGCATTTTATTATATTATATTGTAGTAAAGTATGAACATCTGATCATTAGTGTGGTATAAAGCAATATGCTATTTATATTTAATTTTTTACAACAACTAGGTATAACAATAATAACACTTTTGTCTGGGTGGCTAATTGATGCCGTGCAACAGATACTGCCAAGATGTGGTTCACACCAGCAACTTTCTACAAGATTTGTATAATTTTGTAACTATTGTTCACACTAGCAACTTTCTTCAGGACTGTGATCATGATGTTTTTCAAATAAATGTCACAACAGAAAATACAGTTACTATTGTATTTTCATCAATGTTCCTACATGTATCATGAGAAGAAATTTGCCAAGAAAATTGCTAGTGCGAGTAAGGGTTAATGGCAATGTTTAGAACACTGGAACAACAGTATTCTACATATACAATGTTATCTTGATCTAACAGAGCACATATTTTCTTCCTGTCGGCATGGGGAACACAATGTCTACAGTTGCAGCTGTCCAGATTTTGGTGGGTGTAGCCATGAATATGGTGGTGGTGATGTGCAAATCGTCCTCAATTTTTCCATGAATGAGAACCTACAGTATCAATGTTTCCAAAAAAAAGATTTACATGGGGTTTATACCCTTTATAAAGATTACACTGCATTTTTTGAAGGTTCGCAAACAATCATGCCATGTCATTCAACATAGTACATTTTTGTCCAGTGCAGTAGTGATATTAATTTTAATATGCAATCACACAAAAGTGCTATAAAATATACAACAATGATTGAATGTATGGTCAGCAGGACTGGGTCCCATGTGAAAACCAACATACAGTACAATCATGTCCGATGTAAACAAATATATGCTGCTACCAAAAAGTTCATCTGGAGATGCCTGATTATGAATTACAAAACAATCATCCAATAACTCAATCCCAGTAGCATTTTGATAACAGCTCACCATATAAAGATGAAATCAGTTTTATCCTTGACTGAATCTAGTACTGAGCCTGAGGTGATTAAATTAGATTTCAAGTAATATATTAGTCTATACATGTCTTGAACAAGTTGAACTATAAAACTCAGAGATCCCATATTTTCTCAGACAGTAAATGAATAAAATTTTCCTAGCTTAAAAATTGTCACAAATTCACAGCGAATTAGAGATCCAGTCTCGACTCAGGAGAACGAAATAATCAAATGTATAAACAAATATTTACCTTCATATTTACGACATGGCGAAGCGCTTGACTGAATTTCAAATAAACACACTTTAAAGGCATCCTTGTTGGCGTAATATTCTTTCCTTCTTCTCATATTGTTTCAATGATTTGTTATTAATCGGATTTCACTTCATAAAAGTCACAAATCGTTGAAAATCTCTTCGAAACTGTGTATTCCCACTCCTTGTATCAACAAATATAGAATCGCGCGTATATTATGCAATCGGACTGGAAACCATGGAAACGAGAGATAAGTAGTCTACCAAAACAAAAAGAATCGCACATGCGCAGCACGGACTGTAACCCGTCTTTAAAGGGCATGCACAAAGACAGACACAATTTTGTTTTAAATATACTGCGCAATCTTAATAGCTTGGTGTTATGTTAATTATGCATTGTTAATACTTCCGTGTCCTGTCAATTTTATCAAGTAACAAAATAATTGCTTTGCGTGCTTTGTAAATAGGATTAATTTAAAGCTTTCATCCACTTGTACATAAATACTGTAGGTTTTCTGCTGTAGTCATAAGGCTAATTTATCTGATGAGTGCCACATCTATGGGGTGCCAAGTGTAAATTTATTATTTAGTTGAAAAACGGGTGAACTGTTCCGTTATTTATAAATAATGGAATAAAGATACATTATTTATATATAATAACTTTAGGAGATCTGTATTATTTATATATAATGAAAGTTTTAATGCTATTATTTATACATAATGAAAGTTGTAAAACAATTATTTATACAGGGTGTATCAAAATAAATGCAATTCATCTTTTGTGCTTAATAACTTTCGAAATACTACTTCTAGTTAAACGCTTTTAGGCTTACTTCAAAGCCTGTTCTTTTCTCTTTCAAACAAACTATTATCCTTGTCTCCAATGCTAGTAATAATTTCACAGGAAAAGATTTAGTAAAACCTATCATTTTTAGTTGCTGTTTAATTATGCTAGTTTACTATGTTATTGTTTAGTCGGTTTAAATGTTAGAATTCTCTTCTTTAAACTTTAATGTTGTCGTCACTACATCTGGAAAACCACGTAAGAACAAATTAAAAGTATTTTAAAAGAGACCAGGTTGTTTGAAAATCCTAAACGAATGCTAAAAATCGTCAAAACATTCAGGTGTCTGAGCCAGAATGTCATCGAATTGCGCTGTAATGTAAACAGAAATTATAGCAAGTTGATGTCAGTCAGCTTAGATGGTCCAAGCCAAAATTATATCGCATTTGAAGTTTCAAACTGAGTTAAAAATAGTGGAAGAAAAGCCGTAATTATACTTATTGTTACAATCCATTTAATAAAATGCAACATTTGTTTGTTTTAATGAAAAATCAGTTATTTTCATGAGAACGATTTGTTATTCCATCTCAATTTTTTAATCTCCAATCGCAATAACGTAAAGTATTATTACCCGCGAACCAATGAGTCAAATTTAAGAAACAACCCACTGTTAGAAAGCTGAATGGCTACGCTTTAAAATTAATGTAAACTTTAACGTTTTCGTCTATTATTTGTTTAGCAATTTACATTTCAGTCGAGGATTGCGCTTTTTTTTATACACCCTGTATATAATAACTTTAGGAGATCTGTATTATTTATATATAATGAAAGTTTTAATGCTATTATTTATAAATAATAAAAGTTGTAAAACAATTATTTATATACAAGTTGGTTTCTTAGAGTAATTATTTATAAATAATGTGCTGTTTCGTCTCTTATTATTTACATATAAATAAGTTGACAAATCTATTAGTTATATATAGCAAAGCTAAGTGCAGTTCAGTAGTTATTTATAAATAAGTATTGCATTGCTCGCTTACAAGGATTATTTACATATAAATGGAAATTTCGCGTATCATAAATTTACACCTGAAAGCGCTCCTTATTAAAATATGGCCGCCGATCGTGAAGCTCTTTCGAGGACGATTTCAGTAGCCGTTTCTACAGCAGTTACCGACACATTGACTGCAACATTATCACCGGTAAGTATAGATAATATTTCACCCTTTTTGCCTTTTGAATTTTCTATGAATAAAGAACAGTGTATAACCGAATGTTTGTATTTTATAAATCTCAATAGCAACTGCCTCCTGTTGACTCGCCAGCTGCTATCTCCCAAGCCTAGCAAACTCTTTCTTCCACTGGCACTGGGACTGCAAGCAGTAGTCGGATAAGGGAACAGGTGATTATGGTTTTAAATCTTTTCAAATAGAATTTGGATGTACAGAAGCGTAGGGGAGGGGGGTGCCGATGATTTTTTCCAGGTTCAGAGATCATCCTAGTTTTGGGTTTATCACTGGCCAGCCCACCTATGTGTTTAGGGACTGGTTATAACATACAGGGAGTGGGGGGGGGCTGGAAAATTCAAGGTACATAATTTTTGGCAACCCACCCCCGTGAGCCCATGCACCCCCAAAACATTGCTAAAAATAGTAATGATCCACCCCTAATTTGATAGTTTCCTCGAAACCAAAAGCGAGGGGAGCAAGGGAGGGTGAGCCACCATAAAGTAATAGTTATCGAACCACTAAAATTTCGTAGCAGAAAAGAACCTTGACTTAAAGTCAGCTTATATCCTGAGTTCACCTATTGTATAAATGTCAAGCGTGCCTGGGATTTCAACTCACAACGTATGCATTCCGCCTGATCTAACTTCTGAAAACAAATTTTTACAGGCCAATCTAGTAAATTAACCAGGAGATTCTAGTAGACATAATACTGTCTGATTTAAATTTCATTTTTTTAAATTATGCTTTTGATGCCTGCAGGATAATGTTAGACTACCGTCAGCATTTGATCGACTGCAGAACAGTCACACACCTGTCCAGCCTAGAAAGAGAAGAATGCAAAGCTGTATTAAGCAAAAAGTTGTAAACAAAAATATTATTTGCATCCTACAAACTGATGACCCAAGCAAAGCAATACCTATTCCAAGGGGAGAGAGTCGGGCACGCCTTGCTGATGCAGGATTAACAGGAATAATAGCCATTAATTCAATTTGGCAGGAGGCAGAAGTAAGGTGTGAAATCAGCAACTTGTTTGCTTCAGCATTTGGCCTATCAGATGGAGGAGAAGTTTTGCCCTTTGTATATTTAAGGTATTTAAATTAAAGTGATTTAACTGTTTTACTGGCCAAGAGATAACTACCTACGAGAGGCCTCCAAACAACTTTCCAACACTACCCATTACAACCATATTTCAATGAATCCCATCCCTTAGAATACAACAATTTGTTCAAAATAATCATAAATTAGGTCAATTTGATTACACAACATATAAATTCCTAATGCCCCCTATACCAACTAAAACTCCCACCGTATACTTACTACCCAAAATTCATAAAGCTGGCAACCCGGGTAGACCTATCATCTCTAGGTGTGATGGCCCCACTGTCAGATTATCAAAATATGCGGACCACTTCTTCAAACCTTTAGTTAGCAATATCCCATCATTTGTGAAAGATTCAACGGATTTCTTTAGACGTATAATTAAACTGAACCATAATCTTCCCACTGACATTCTTCTTCTTGCAATAGATGTTAGATCTCTGTACACTAACATCCCGCATGATGAAGGCATTGACGCATCAATCGAATACTTTCAAGGATTTAATAGAGAGGCAAACACAGACCTTCTAAAGGAAGTATTAACCCTTGTACTTCATAACAATTATTTTGAATTCAACAATAAATACTATCTTCAGACCCAAGGCACTTGCGCCCTCATATGCCAATCTTTTCATGGGTCAATTAGAACACAACATGCTAATGGTGCCCCTGGTGGATTGATTCCACTTGAGTGGATAAGATTCATCGATGACATCTTTGCAGTATGGACACATGGAATTGATAAACTAAAGGAGTTCCTACATTATATTAACAACTTCCATCCCACTATTAAATTTGAATTTGAGTACTCCTATGAAAGAGTCCATTTTCTTGATACTAGTATTTACATTAACAACTTTAACCAACTGGAGTCCGACCTATTTATTAAACCAACAGATAAAGCTCTACTTTTACATAATGGGTCCTTTCACCCCAACAATTGCAAAACTAGCATCATATATAGTCAACCTCTTAGATATGTACGACTAATTACTAACTGTAACAGATTAAGTGAACGCCTTCAGGACCTACGTGTTAATCTAATTACCAGGGGATATACTAACAATGTAATTGATAATGCCTTTAATAAAGCTCTGCAATATACTCAGTCCAATCTACTAACTGGGAAGAATGATAATAATATTATTTGAATTGATGGTAATGCTACTAAGCAGCGCCCAAATAATGAACCTAATAGCAATAAACCTATACTAACTTTCTCTGTGCCCTATAATACTAATACCACTCATATAGCATCTATCTTGCGTAAACACTGGCATCTCATTGATAAAGACCCAACACTCAAGCTTCTATGGCCAGAACCCCCTTTGGTTTCCTACAAACGCAACCATAATATTAAGGACCGCATAGTGCACTCCAAGCTATCAAATAATTAGAACTAATGAAATTAAACGCGATACTAACACCACTATGACAGCGGGTTCGATATGGTGAGACACAGATATTGGAGTTTGTCATTGGTCGTGGCAATACTGGATAATTTGGCCGTATTAAAGCAATAGAAACACCAGGTTTTGAAAACAAAATGTACAACAACTTATAATACCAGCTGTTGATATCTAACCATCAAGCAGACATTGTTGTCCACATACTATAAAGAATTAATCGTCCTGCTTGGCACTTGAAAAGGGATTAACATTTACGTCAATAGCCAATTTTTCATACCATTCCATACTGTGGCATTTCCTATGATAACACCTATATGAAACCACTCGAATAGACTCGTCATCGCTGCATAGTTGGTCAACCTTTTTAATTACCTACAGTTGGACATGCATGTACCTAATTTTTTGGACATGTATGTACCTAATATGTTTGGATGGCTAATAGCAACAGTTATAATTCCTTTACCTAATTCTATCCTCATGCATGTTGATGCATTTTATACCTGAGAAGTCATACACGTCCTATGTAGAATTATTCAGTTATGATCAGCAATTAATGTACCAACTTATCCCCGGTCTTTATTTTCATATGACCATTGGTTCCTTGTACAAGTAACACGAACATACTTGTCATGTTTTAAATAGTATATTTTGTAAATATAATGGATAACTTGATTCCTCCATGTGACAAATTAAGACCTACTATAGATAATGATTGAACATATGTTTAATATTGCAAACACTAAATACTTCAATAAATTTTTTAGGAGCTATTCAACACCACTGATGCCATTGGATGATGCTTTGCTTGGAGGCAAGCCCGAAACATATCGGTGGGAATTATTTCCTGTTTGAAGAGTTCTTTGTTTTCTCCTATATATATATCCATGCAACTGAATGTGTGGAGATATGTTGTGTGTGGGAGAGAGACAGAGTCCAATCACTGTGGGCACCTTATGTTAGAAAGGGATGATCTTTCAAGATGAAAGTTCCTGCCCACTAACTGGTGGTATTATGTCAATGAATCTGGCATGGGAAATGCTATACATTACCCTATAAAGGCCAGTGAACTATTCTCTCATGGGTTCCTTTGAACTTCATGTTAGACAATGGCAATCTTTGCAAGGCACTGAAAATGCCCATAAAAAAATTAAAACTATTCATTTTGAAGAGGAACGAGTTGTTTCTATATCAGTTAGACAAAGCTGATTGAATAGCCATTTGGTAGAGCTCTTGGAGCCACTTCACATTTCGCACTCTAGTTGGGAATCCCCCATTTCTTTGAACTTGTCTTGAATCTCAAGGGAGGTCATATTATTTACAGTATCCAACTCATTATCCTGAGTAACAGCACTCTCAGGTGTTTTCAGAGCTTCACGTTTTGCTTGCCGGCTTGCTTTTATTGTTGATGACCAGTAATCAGCGTTTCGTTTTGTACCTGCCCTTGGTTTTCTCCTACATTCCGCCAAGTTTTCAAGGCGTTTATTTGCAAGAAGGACATCTTTTGCAGCATCCCACTTGTTGGACTTAAAAAAGTGAATCTTACTGCAATCGTCATTATTTTTCTCAACTCCTAAAATGTATGCAATCCGAAATTAGAATCCTGATTTCTTGGTGCTCTAAAAGTCTAGATTAGAGCTTTGCCTTGATTTTCTCACTATCCTGAACTTGGATCTCACCTTTTTCAATCTGAATGTATACAATTTTAAGAGAAAATATTCAACAAATGGGTTGATCCAACTTCAATTAATGTGGCTAGTGCATGTTTAGGTCATTCTATCATTCTTGCTACCAACCCTCACTTTGACGCTACATGCCTTCCTAACACGAAAGCCACATACATTAACCCACCTTGTTTCTTAATTTGCCTGCCAATTCACTTTCAAAATCCAATTGTGCTCCTTCAGCCTCCCCTGGCGTTTTGGTAATTTGGACCAATCTATTTAAATCATTTTTGCACTGTTTTATAAGGTGTCCTAGCTGGTAAATCTGCTCCGGATTCCCCCATCGTTAACTCATGATAGGCCGCCTCCCCAATGCAAAATCTATCTGTAACAAATGTAACTTGCTTTACAACATCCTTCTCATCTTGTGTTAGCTCTCTATAAGATTTGGAAGTGTTCTCTCCAACTTGTTTGTATTTCATGGCATGGTGAAAACCGGTTTCATCTTTCAATTCTATGGAAGATACATCCAAACCAAATGTCTTTGCAAACCACAATAACCTTTCTTCTTTTGTCTTTAATCCTTTTAAGATCCTGTGCTGCTGCCTTTGCCCGACTTCTGTAAACTGTCTCCCCCTGTTCTCTAAGAGCAAGTCATTCCCATGCAACTGTTCCAACCTCTTCACCAACTCAAGTAGTCGCTTGTTCCTTTGATCTAGTTCTATGTTTAAGTTGACTTGTTCTTCCAACATTTCTTCTGATCTGAACTTCTGGTCAGTTAGAGTGTTTAGATTTTCTGATAACTGCTCACATCTTTCAGTGATGGATTTATTTTGCTCAGAAAGTTGGATCTTTTGGGCATGAAGTTGCTCTATTGATTTACTGGTCTCTGTCAAATCTTGGTTTGGAATAACTTCACTTTTCAACAATTTAATAGAACCATGTATAACAATTGAAAGAACCATGTCTATTGTCCTCCACGTCTCGCAGACAGCTTACTGTAGGCTATGGAAGACAATGATCTTGCATATTCTTCAATCGTAGTGCATTTTTCTTTTAGCGGGGCAATATGCAGCAGTTTTGCCAAGAAATGATTAATAATATTGATAAACTTCACTTCGGGAATTTTCTCGATAAGTCATACCAACTTTTAAGGCATTTGTTTTGAATTTTTATTGTGAAAGCAATTTCTTTATTTACATTGCTGTCGCTGTCAGTTAGTTGAATTGATAAATACGGTTGATATTTTGCAAAATTATACACTTGATCAAGTTTAATAGCCCTCAACCGGTTGTGGAATTGTATTTATATATTTTGTGTTTCGCAGGCCCGCGGAATGGTAATATATTTGACGCCGGCTCCCAAGTTCGTTCGTAATTTTCCAGCGACAAATATACCGCTGCTAACAGTGACTGTTATACCAAGAAACTGCATCTTTCGAGGACAATTTTGATATGTTTTTCAACTATCTTTGCGGAGTCTTTGATTGCAAATCTAAGAGAAGGAGACACACATAATTTTGAAGACACACATAATTTTATCTTCTGCATTTACAGCATTTTGAGGAGGGAGACTATAAAAAAATATGTTACGAGTAAATGAACTGGACTCTCCACTATGTCAACAAGAAAAGAAATGAAAAAGAACACACTTGCAACAAAAACGGCGAATTCGAACCTCGTTCATTGACATACTCTGTTGGGGAGCAAAATCGAAATGTCAATCTCGAAATGTCAAGCGCCTTGGAATATGATACCAATGAAGAAACTTGTTCTATGGAAGAAATGTGTTCTTCAACAGATCCTGTTGATGCAAAAAGTTGCTTGTTGGAAAAATTCCCCTGGGAAAATACTTAGAAAAGGCAGAAAGGAACCTTGAAACACAATCCGAAGAGACGAGATAAATGATAAACTTCACACTGTGAATTTGGCCGCAGGCGATCGAAAAAATAGTGTTTGTGACAATTGTCACCTTCGCTTGGGTCACCACAAAAGACTTGCACTTTAGAACGTTGTGCTGACATGTTTTTGTTGCATGCCATATATGGCATGCAACTTTCATATAGCTCTAAATTTTGTGTTGTTGCGGTGAGTGAGCGGTGAGCGTACCAGTCACATGGCAGATTCGTAAAATATGACAAATACCGAGTTTTCCCGACGAGCATTTTCATGCCGGGTTTTCGTCGAGGAAACGCAAAGAAATATTGATTATTTGCCGAAAATTTACATAATTGAGCGCCTTAGAAAATTAAATCGAGGTAGGTAAAACTTTACTGTTTTTAACTTACCTTATATTCTGTTATTTGTTGTGATTTTGGAGCCGTTGTGCTCGCACTGATTATTTATCAATTATCAGGCGTTTATATGTTATACATATCAAGCCCAACGCTATCAAAATACTCGATTTTTATATACTCAAACTGAAACAGAGCCATTGTGCTCGCACTGATTATATTGTGTGCAAAGCTTCAAAACTACAGCACATTTTGTAAATAACATGAAATATAAATATCAAACAAAATTTTAATTATAAATAGTAATACTATTGAAATTTAATACAACGAAATAGCAACCATTGCGAGGTACGCATAGGATTCAACCATGACATTCGATATAGTGTAAATTAACTCATTTCAATCACTCAAACGTCAAAATGATAAATAATAATTTTCAATCTACTGCGATTTGCAGTTGAGCTTTAAAAGATACAGGAAGTTTTACCGCACAGTTTGATCGTTGAAACGCACAAGTTACCAAGGGCAAATTCAAATGTCGTCAAGCGGAAATGCGAATGTTGTCATGGGAGATTTAGGCACTTTCGGCCAATCATAGTGAAGGCCTCGTTGCCCCAAATCAAACACAAAATTTCTGTGCTTGGGGCAACACCTTCTTCACTATGATTGGCCGAAAGTGCCTAAATCTCCCATGACAACATTCGTATTTCCGCTTGACAACATTTCAATTTGCCCTTGGTAACTTGTCCGTTTCAACGATCAAACTGCGCGGTAAAACTTCTTGTCTCTAAGCTCAACTGCAAATCGCAGTATTATAGTAATTCACCATTTCTACGGGTTTTTTATACCTTTAAAAAGTTACAATAAAGCTAAATCTATAGGAAATAACGTTATTTAGTTATAAATTTGTAAAGGAAATCTAACAGTCAATCGCTTTTGATAAAAGCTTGACCCACCTTGACCTTGTTAATGTTATTATTATTAGCATGATAAAATTACTGGATGCTGATTGGTTGAGAGGAGTACAATTATTTCATTAATTGTACTGCAGTACAATTAATGATTTTCCCAAAACAAACAAAATGGCGGAAAGGTATTTTAAACACAAACGTGAACTGAAATTGCCCTTGAGGAACTAGATGAAAATACGAACAAAAGCAGCAAATTTTGCTTTAGCAAAAGAACTAAATGAAAATACGAACAAAAATACTCGTGATGTTTCGAAATTTGCCAAATTGGACTCGCCCCGGCGGCTCGTCCAATTTTGGCAAAATTTCCAAACATCACTCATACTATTAATCCCTAATTGTACTCGCCATTGCATAATTACCTATACTTATTACTGTCGTTTGCAACTAACTATTACTGTCGATGCAATGGAAGTGTTGATAAAATATTGCATGAATTCATTTCCTCAAGTTGATCAATTCATACAAATTCAAATTTCTTTTTACTTCCTGTGCGTTTCCTATTGGTCAATCGGTTCTGAAACGAAATATAATTCTATCAAATGAATTGATCAGCTTGAGGAAAGGAATTGGTGCAATATTTTATCAACACTTCCATTGCATCGACAGTAACGGTCGCTTATAAAAACATTGCCTATTCGTGTGTTTCTGCTGGGGTCTACACCGTTGGCTAATTCGCGTGACATAATAGCTATTTTTCAATTTGACATAATAGCTATTTTTCAATAAATATATTGATATTAAACTTATTGAATCAATATTTTAAGTTTCACGCCAGTTGTACCAAAGGTTATAAGCGCTATAGTGCATCATAAGTTTCATATGGCATGCAACATGTATGCACTGCGTACCTATTTTTTCTGTGGTCAAGAGAAGCAACATATGCTGGACGAATAAACAAGAGGCGACTTGACCAAGAAATCACCAGACAAAAGAAACTTGTAAGTGAATGCGCCGAAGAAGTCGACAAAAGGAAAGCAGCCATTCAAACTGTTGAGAAATCCAAGACAAAACAAATTGAGTCTCTCCTCCTTGATGATGACAACAAGCATGCTTATATTTGTAATGGCAGAAATCTAAACTGGAACCTTGTAAGAAAGCATGCGACAGTCATCGAGAATTATTGCAAGAAATACCAACATGGACGTATTCCAAGCAAACATGAAATTCCATCCATTCTCTCTACGGTTCTCGAAGACTATAACGCCACATGTGGAAAGGCATTAACTGCTCAAAAGTACAGGCAATCCGACAAAGGAAACGCTTAACAATACAGTATCAATTTTCCAACTTGCACAAAGTAAAGCCAAAGATCAGATATATAGAGAACTCTCCCTAAGAATGAAGAAGAGGAACAAAATCAGTTAGAGTTAGCAATGAATGCAAGCCTGCATATTGTACAACCAAACAAACAGAGCAGTATTGAGTCTTCTTGGTCAAGCGAAACAGTTGTTTGCGACGGAACAAGTGAAACAGTTGTTTGCGACAAAACCTTCTCTCAAATTCCTGACCCTGTGTTAACAGAAGAATCAGCTGCTATTTCTTCGTTATCGTTGAACTCAAAAGGATATCAGTAAAAGACATTTGATATGTATAAATCAATTATATGCTGAGTAAGTTTGACAGTAATAATGTCTATAGAACTTGAAATTGTTATAGACTGATATTTTTCAATTGACATTTTCCCATATAAACATAACATATTTACATTTCTTTAAATTTGTTCGAACTGTTAATACTGTAACTTTGTGCAATAGCCAATATGGACAGCATTGGTTGGATTATTAAGTACTATTTACAACATGAACGGCTCTGTTGTATCGGATATACAAACTCGAGCCGAAGGTGAGAGTTTGCATTACAACCTGCATGATGTGTGAAGAAATTAAGTCTCGAGGTGTGCCTGATTGATGACAGTAAATTGATTTGCTTGTGATGAAATTAGGCAAGCTCTGGTGTGATATTTTATCTCCGTAGGAAGAGATTTTGTAATATATAACTATGTAAATAGTTAAAATGTTGCTTTTATATTAGTGTTCTGTTACACAAACTTTATGAATGTGGCGATACCACTGCATATTTTCAACCTCTCTCGATGGAGATAGAAATTGCCACTTTGCGTACAATGGTAAAATAGACAGTTACAAACTGAAGGCACGAAGGTGTAGGGATATTCAAGAGTTTGTCTGACGAAATTCATTTAATTCAATAAGTCAGACATGACGACATTCGTGGCAGCACCATACAGGAGGGACCAAGGCAAAGCAGTGATATAATGGAAATTTCATCATTTGGTATTTTGGTAATGGCATTCAGGCAGCGTAAAGTGAACGAGGATTTCTTGAACAGCAAGCCATGTTATGCGTTAAGGTCATGTTACACGTCAAGGTCATGTTACACGTCAAGGTCATGTTACACGTTGTGAATGCGATTTGGCGCCAATTTTACCAAAGACATTTCATGTGAGAAGATACCAAACAACGATTAATGTAGACTACATACATTGTGCCAGCACTGGAATCCTAATGAATCAAATTAAACATAGCCTGCTCGCAGCCTGAAATTAACACACCAAGACGCAGAAATTACATCATTACGAAGTATGGCTTGCAGCAAAGTAAACCCAAGATTCCCACGGGAAATATCAAACCCCTGATGCTCGGATATCAACCAGCAAAACAATCAGGCTGTGCGAAAGAAGCCTGATCCTATTCAAGGAGGACAAGTGAGCTTGACATCTGTGTTAGCCTGGTGCATTCAAGAGATTAAAGAATAATGGTGGAGAATTGAATTTCAACTTGAAGTTGGACGGACGGCCGTTTTGGGGTAAAAACTTTTCTATTAATCTATTAAACAGACTACAGTATTGCATGAAGTCTGGAATTTTTCACAACACTAATACCACCAAACTCCAGGTATATATTTCTGATAATTTAGTATTTAATATCAACATTGACCAGGTACGAGACTTTGGGTACAAGATTAGCCCACGCCAGCACGCCCTCTAATGCCTGGGGGATGGGGGAATGGCAATGTAGCAAAAACCTGTGTCAAATTTTCTTTCTGACTTTCATAGTGACAGGTTGTCAAGATCTAATGACTTTAGATAGCTGGTATAAATTAAGATGTGTTACTGGGTAAATTAAATCATAACGATAACTCATGTTTACTATAAATAATAATTTGATCTTTTGGTAGGCCAAATTTCTCAATGATAGTGCCAGTTTGAACACTTAACTTCCTTGATAATACATGGAATACCAATTGCTCTCACAGAATGTTTCTTTGGGTCACCGATTCCGCTTACTTGGCACTTTGTAAATTTTCATATGAATTCATTCCTCTTCTCCACCTACTTTGATTATGTTCACTGAGATGTCTCTCCCTTTGAGTCCGAGACTGTCTGCTGTTTCGCTCTGTATTAAACTTATCTGCGCTCCTGAATCCAGAAGGACGTTCCCACGCTTGTGCAACCCGTTTGGACCGCAGATGTTTGCCGCAATCACTGGCAACATGGAATCTTTCTGGCTGGTAACAGATGCTAAAGTGACACCCACTGCACTCGATTTATGTAGCAAAGGATTGTGGCTGAAGGTACACTGGCTTCCGTTCTCAACTTTGTTGCACTGCTTTTGCCAACTGCAGTTTGCTTGCCAATCATCTTGACCCACTTTCTTTAAGCAGCTGAAACAAACGTGATTCTCTTTTGCCACTAGGAGTTGCTCTCATTGTTGCAAGCTTCTGACACTGGTCTGGCCAATGACTTCAGTTGTTGCACAGCCAACACTTGTTTCTGCTCTTATTACCGCCTTCGATTTCGCCATGCAAGTGATTGATTTTGCGTCGATTTGTTAAACCACTTCTAACTGGAGATGTCGCACGCATGTGTGACTTCATCTCGCTCGTCATCCACATCATCAAGGCATTCAGCATTGGCTGGTTTTCGCTCTCTTTCTAAATCTCTTGACCACACATTCCAATCATCTGGGCACATCTTTTGTTCAATTATTATTGATAGCATGTGGCAGTTGTCCATGTCGCTCGGAACGCCAACCTCCTTTAGCGTGTTATAGCTATGTCTTACCAAATGAAGAAGATCGCAAAAATGCAAATCTTTGCCTTCTAATGGTTTAAATTTTGCTATGTCCTGAGTGTCAGAAACAAACCGTGGGTCCCCCCATATATTGAATCTAAATATTCCCATGCCATGTCATAATTGATTTGTTGTCTCTTGATGGGGTTTACTGCAACCCTCAAGGACAGTATATCTTATACAGGAGTTATCGAGGAGCAATTTTAAAAGCTCTTAATATGTTGCACGATCGATATTAAATTTTTAGTTCGGCTGCCTTTTCATCTATTTGCAGTACTTGGATTTTTCCAAGGTTGTTGTAATTAATGTCATGTGCATATATTCAATAAAGTCATAAACAACATTAACAGAGCTGCCAAGTCTCACAGTTTACCCGTGAGTCTCCAGGTTTTTGCGCTGATGTCCAGGTCTCACGGTTGGTGTTGAAAATCTCACAGAATCGATTAAAATGGGCCTTTATGCATGGATTCTGCATCTATGCTCAGAAAAAACATACAATTTGCGAAAATATTGTCTGTTCTTTTGAATAAAAATTTGTACATATTTGTAAAATGACACTCAAATTAGTAGCGTGGAAGTATAACATATCTAAACATGAATTATGTGTGTGCGTGGGCTTATTTTTTATTACACAAGCATATATATATATGGCAATCTCGTTCCCTAAGCATGCCCTGTCAACAATAATATAAAGTCAACAATTTATACATAATTTGATTAAGATTTTTCAGCATTAAATATTGTCTGTGCTAGGGGGTACAATCTACAAACTAAAGGCCCCAACAACCTCCAGGTTTTTGATCATCTGAACTTGCTGTTTGAATATGTGTCTGGGCTGAGCAATTGCTGTTTGCAAATACCACATTGAGAATTGAGCAATTATAGTTTCATGCGAAGGGAATATTCATGAATTTGTGGCTTCTGTTTTATATACTAATATAGTGTAGGTGAGGTACCGGTACTGTATATAGTTTATGTTGTACTTGGGGCGTTTGTATAAATGTTAATTGTTCTGATGTTCTGTTTGAATCAAACCACTGTACAGTCTTGTCCTTGAATTATGCACTTTTAGCGTAAATTTAGGCCACAGTTTCTTGGTCATGGAAATATATGCCTACATGGGTTAGGACCTAGGTGTTCAAATGCCCATAGTTCAATTCAATATATGGTGGAACAGCACGGCAAGTTGTTTTCAGATGACGCAGTTATTTTGTTTGGCTACCTTTTGTGGTATGCCATATTTAACAACAATCGTTTACTATAGAGTTGTAGATCAGTAGATGTTTGTTTGTTGTAAACTTTAAAATTGTGTTTGTTGTGGAATAGTGCCATGTGATATATTGCCCTATCATGTGAAAGATATTATCAGTGGCTTGTTGTCTTCCCTGTTTGCAGTTTCTCTTTAGAAATAATGCCAAGACCAAGTACCCTAGTAGAGCCCATGGCCACTCATCCAAGATCAACAAGAAGTCACTAACCAATTGTTCAGGATCCAGGTCTAGTACCACCTGTGAGTGCCACTCCTTCTGAGGAAGTACCCATAGCTCATACAGTGCCAGGAATGACTCCACCAGGCCTTTCGGATTCTACCATTGCCAGAATTACTTCTGCAGTGACCCAGGCTGTTATGGAGTCTTTGCAAATGCCTCAGCACAATCCTGTGACATTGCCGTTGGAATCCAACACGAGGGAGGTACCACTGCAGGGCATTTCTGTGGCTGACGCTCAAGGGCAGGGGCCAGTAGCTGCAGCCATGGAAAACCTTACAGGTGAGGTAGTGCAATTGGGAGTAATTTGTCCACACCTCATGGCAAGTTCTGTTAGTATATCCAATTTCAATTCTGTTAGTATTCCAATCGATTCTGAGGTCAGCCCCAAGATTAAGGCGAAGATTTGAGGCAATGAATTTATAGATTTTGGGTTACTTATAAACCCCCAAGTTGGTGATACCCACTATCATCTTTCTCTTGGCACATCCAAGGGTTCAGTGCCAACACTTGCTTTAGAACCCACTACAATGGCTAAAGCTATTCACAACATTGAGGTGTGGATAACTGCTTTTCAAGTATTTGTTGGTGTTTACACCAGCAAGTATCCGTTGGAGGCCCCAGCACTTCTGAAGTATGGTGAAGTGGTTCGGGATTTGGCTGCTCAGGAAATTGGCAATTCTATGACACCCAGTTTCGCTATTAGAAGTATACCCATGCAAACAAAATGCCCTGGGGATCCACCCATTGGGAATTATGGATCCGGGCACAGAATTTTGCTCAGCCAAAACCAAAATCACAAAGTTTCAGTCAGCGTGGGCTATTTGTGCCTAAGGGTTTTACAGGAAGTTTCACCAGGGACTTGGTTGTTTTGGTCCATGCACTTTCAAGCATGCTTGTTTTAAGTGTACAGGTGGGAAGAAATATCCTGCACACAGCTGTAATTTTCATCCCTCCAGTTCAACTTCCAATTTTCGTCACTCTGGTGCCACTGCCAATTTTCAACCCCTCGGTGTCAAACCAGCACCCTTGTTCCAAGCTCCCAACTTCGATCCTAATTGAACGAATGCTACCCTTCTTATGTGGATATGATGTGCATGTTGTTTCTTTGTTACATAATGGTTTTACCTGGGGTTTTCCCTACATTTTTCTGGTGAACATATTTCTTTTTGTTCCAAAAATCTTGCATCTGCTTATGAACACCCTGAGATAGTCAGTGCTAAACTTGACAAGGAGTTAACAGCTAATAGAATTGCTGGACCTTTTCAAGAACCTCCTTTTCATAATTTTCAAGTTTCCCCATTGGGAGTTGTGCCAAAGAAAACACCTGCGGAATTTCATCTAATCCACCATTTGTCTTTTCCTCAAGGGGCATCAATCAATGACGGTATTTCATCTGAGCATACTGCGGTGTGTTACAGTCAAATGGAAATAATTTTTGGATGATTTCAGTGGCCAATCGTTTTTTCGGATTTCTGGTCTAATTCTGTCAATTTAAATTTGTATACTGATTCTGCAGCTAGCTTGGGCTTTGGAGCTATATTTGTTCAGTTTTGGTGTTTCGGTGTTTCGGTGATTGGCCTGAGCATTGGAAACATACAAATATTGTTGTTATATAGCTAGTGTGAACACCAAACGTGATTGGCTGATTTGTGGTCACATGACTTCAGATAAATGCAATGTTTCCCGCCGGGCAACAAGTGAAAAATTGTTGGCCGCCCCGACCGGCCACGTACATAAATAAACAAAATGGAGGCACAACTCAGATAATTAGAAACTACGATTTTCCAAGTTTGTGTTCAAATAAAGAATATTAAAGAGAAGAAAAATACACAACAGGCAACAGGATATGCTGCTGAAACCGTTTAAGAGGCTGTCTCCGTAAAAACCTCCAGGTCAATATGGGGCTCAAAAATAGATTTCTCTCATACTCTAGTATTTTGAAGATCTATCCTTGGGAACAACTAAAATCGATGTCATTTTACTCAAATTTCCTTTAAATTATTTTTGGGGACGATTGATGTTCGATCGACTGGTAACCAACTTGATACTCCGAATGAAGGCCAAATATCGACATATTTTCAGCGCTATTTTTCAAATCAAATTCATACCTAAATTTCAAAATTTTTGCTCAGAAATATAGACTTATCCTTCTATTTTCACCGGTGATACAACTTAGATCATTATTCTTTGGTATAAAATAGAAAACAGCGCAGTTATTGACCCTCCTGAACGGATAAAGGATATCGTCTCAAAATATGCCAACTTCGAAAGCTTATTTCAAAATCGTGGCACTTTATTGGCACATGACTTTAACTTTTCTATAAACTACTAACATTAGTCAACACAAATCGCCAATAATATCTTTCTGCTCTACCATTTGACAAAAATGACAAGCGCGCAAACTTTGTAAAATTTGAAAATGTGTCGAAATCGAGCATACTTTATTGGTAAACATAATTATTGATATTAACAGATAAAATCACGTTACACTACACTGAATGAAGCTTCATTACGTAAATACATGTCTTTCATCATTATTCTTTGGTTTGGCGCTTGAATCAAATTGTTTGAGTACAGTTTGGCTTCACGGATAGAGTCATTCAATGCCAGTGTGTCCAGTGTCTTCTGCGCGCCTCAATACCACGAGTCCTGATTGTGACATACTATACAATCTTCGCCCTGTTCGCTTTGTTTACCTCTTTAACAAATACATGTTTAACAAATAACAATATTCAATGAAATTGGAAAGCTCAGAATTAGTCATACTACAGACAGAATTTTCATCGTTTTTAAACTGTTTTATTAAATCTCGGGGAAAACCCCGGGCAATGATGTCAAATGTCAATATTTCGTTAGTTTCGCTCAGTATAGTTTTCTAGCAACTGAATTGTCTCTAGGTTTAGGAACAATTATCAATGAAACTAGAATTCAAGTAAGTCACGGTTCTGTATAAAAAAAATCAACTTTTTCAGGCCGACCCTGGGTCACTTTGCTCAAGGCTATGCTTCAAGAATTTACATTATTTCTTATTGTATAAAAATATGCGAGTATTTTGATATAATACAAAGCAATTCAGCGCAAACAGCTGTAACCCATTTGAACGTCTCAGTTATTTAATCAATGTTATTCCTTTTTTCAGTAACAATTAGAAAGGTTCTGAAAATTAGAATTAATTTATATTCTTCTTTCCGACAAGCTTTAAAGGGTGACAAATTTGCAAGTGATAACTAATGTCATTCTTACACGCCAGCAACTTCGAAGAACGGTCTACTGTGTCTCGGAATTTTCCAACCTCAGAAGTAGAAAAGGAACATTTCTACATTATTGTTTACCGTCATTCTCATCTGTCAACATAAAATCTACTGTTTGTCGAAATCGTTTAAGGCCCTGTCACACTATTGCGGATCGTACTAGCGTATGCCAGCGTATGAAAAATATCACTCATACGCCGGT